CCCAGGCCTCCAAGGCCGTTGGCCGATCTTCTGCGTCCTGCGCCAGGCACTGCAAGGCCAAGGCGAGCAACGAGGGAGGGCATCCGGGGAGCACGTGGTTCTCCACCTCCTCCCCCCGCACCTCGAACAGCTCCTCGGGCCGCCGCTGCAAGAAGGACTCTTGGCCCTGGCCAGATCCAGGTATCTTGCCCGTTACCAGCTCGCTCATCACCACCCCAAAACTAAACATGTCCGCCTTCCCTGTGATTTTGCTCTCCGGTCCGTTCAGGAGCTGCTCGGGCGCCTGAAATTCGAAGGTGCCGCAGGTGATGGAGAGCAAGTCCGGGCTGTGGGAGGAAGAGACAAAGGCGTGGTCGCAGATCTTCGCGCGGAAAAGCGGGTGGGTGAGGAGGATGTTGCTCGTTTTCAGGTCCCGGTGCAGGAGTCCGTGGGCGTGGAGGAAGGTCAAGCCCTCGGCCACGTCACTGACGATGCGCACTCGGAGGGGCCAGCTGAGGGGGAGGGGGGACTGATGAGGAAGGGAGGGAGAGAGGGCGTCCCTCAAAGAACCGTGTCCGCAAAGCTCCATGGCAATCAGGACAAGGGATGCGATGTCAGCCGAGGGCGAAGCAGGGGTTGTGGCAAGTGAAGAAGTCGTTGCATCCATCTCCTCCTTTTGAATCGCCTCGCTCTCCACCCAGGCATGCATCTGCTCCTTGACGTCTTCCTCTCCCTCCTCTCCCTCCTTCGCTTCCTCCTCCTCGTCCTCCTCCTCCCTCATTTTGGCTTGATTTACCTGTTCTACTCCACAATGGTCCCATTTGGATCCGCGCGGTCCTCTTAAAAGAGGGCGCCATTTATCTCTCGTCAATATATCCGCTTCTGAAAGCAATGCAGCTCCAAAATATCTGACCAGCCGGGGGTGGATGAGACCGTGCAATATGGAGAGTTCGATCAAAAGATTCGCCTGCTCCTGCTCGTCGCTGGGAACCCGTTGTACCTTGACCGCCACCTCTTCTTCCTTTTCGATGAATCGAATATCTCGCTTGCTCCCTTTCCCCTTACAGGCCCTCCCGCGTTCCTGGTGCGTTGTCTCTTGGCGCCGACGACGACGGAGACGTGCGCGCCACACCACTCCATATGCACCCTCAGCCATGCGGTCAAGAAAAACAAGCGATTCGGGATCCAAATGGAAACCCTTATGGACGGGAGTGGGCGGGCGGAAAGACGGAGACCAGGCGCGGGAAGAAAGAATGTGCTCTGTGGTGGGCGAGACAGCTTGTGGTATGGCCGTTATACTGTGACGGTGGGGAGCAGACTCTTGCTCGTGCTGGGAATGCGAGGGGTGACTGGACACGTCTGGAAGGTCATCATCGTCCTCATCGAAGGAAAGGGAGCCCAAATGTCGCGGGAGTCGATGCAAAACTGTCTGGCGTGCCCTTGGAGTGAAAGGACTACAGACGGTCGAGCTGTTGCTCTTCGGGGTGGTGGGAGGCTGAGAGAACGATAGTGACATACTAGTCGCCACGAGAATTAGAGCAACAAGCTGCCAGTTCTCTTATTTTATTCGCCTTGACCTACAGGAAAAAAAGTTTGCAAGAAATTGAGCGGAAAGATTGACAGGAAACGTGCGATCGGGTACTGGACTTCAGCCTGTGACAACGCTAGCTTTCAGAGGGCCCATAAAAACTTCAACACGGCGGGAGCACGGGGTAGGACTACGGGTACTCTTTGCCCGGGGAAAAACGATATTTTTGCTGCACTTCCTGCCGAGAACGTCACTTTGTGCGACATTTATTACATTGATAGGCAGTGTATGACGCGGATCAGGGATACAATGTGCCGTATGCACGGCAGCATGGTAGCGAGGCATGAGACGTCCTCAGGTCCTTAAAAAATGGAAATCACCACTAGCGAGACTATGTGTTAGCATACCCCCACACAGCAAGGTTTTGTGCTTTTTTTTTCTTGAGATACGAATATCTACTCACTTTTCGTTTTAAGTCGTGCGAAACGAAGGAAAAGTGGCCCAGGTAAGCATTTCACAGAAAGGAGACTGCACCCTTGTGCATGTAGTATATTAACTTCTAGTCCTTCACCGCTTACCTCTTCCGTTTTCCTGCTCTTGCCGCTTTGCTCCCTCCTCCTTTTCCACCACGTCCCTTCTTGGCTTTCATCGCCTTCTTCATGCCCCGAGTGTCTTTCTTCATCCTCTTATCTACCAATTTGACACGAGCGCGTCCCGAGGCCCCGTCCTTTTGCTTGGCCTGGGAGCTTCCCCCACGACGCACAACCGCGTAGACCTTGTCTGGCCGTGAAAATTTGTCCCCTTTTCCCTTAACAGCCTTCTGGATGGCCTTCATTTTGTCTCGCTCCGTCATGTCGGGGTTGCTCACGATGGCCGACGCCTTGGACTTAGCCTGCTTCAACCGCTGCACCAAGCGATGCTTCTTCCGAGCCCGGGCCTCCGCCACTTTCGCGATCGGCTTGCTGGCCAAGCTTTTGAAGCGCTCCTTCATCTCGTCCAACAAGGGCTTCGGAATGGGGATCTGCGGTCGGTAGTGTCGCTCCTCGTCGTCCACGAACCATTCGGGCAAGTCTCCCGCGTCGTTCCAGGCAAAGCGGTTGTAAGAGGCATCCACCAGCTCCTTGGCCTTGCTCCGCCGCAACATCATCGTCCCGATCGCCAATGTCCGGGCTCGCTCTTCGTCGTCCCAATCCTCGTGATCAGAGTCGTACTTGCGCGAGTCTGCCACGGGGGGCACAAGGGACAACAAGGGCGGCCCCCCCGCAGGCACCACTTCGAACGTCGACTGAAGACCCTGCTCCACCCTCCGCTTCCCGTCCTCGCCTCCGCCTTCCCCGTCCGCCAGGACTTTCCCCATCCCTGCTTTGATCAACGCTCGTCGCCGCCTCCTTTTCTCCTCCTCCTCGGGGTCCGGCGCGGCCACCACCTCCATCGCCTGCTCCTCCACGTCCACGGCCCCGTCCGGGTCTGCGGCCCGCGTCTTTTTCTCCGCCAAGTGCGCCCGACGCTCCCGGTCCTTCATCCGCTTCGCGTGCCGGAGCTG